GTTAGCAGTCAAATGCCTTAGGCACTACACCACCAAACCTCCTGAATAATTAACTAGCTACACTAATTGAAAACAAATGCAATATATATAACTCAAAATAGGAAATCTTTAAACCATTTACAAGTCAAAGACACACTCAACTTAACCTATCTTTTTTTTTTTTTTGGCCCAAATTCTGTTAGTAACCTAGTAAGGAGGTAACAGAATTAGGTGATGGGTCCATTAACAGAAAACAATTTATATGTGAACATATGTATTCAATCTTAAAAATCACTTTCAATTTTAATATAAACTGCAGTCATACTATTTTTAGATTAATATCTAAAACCTCAATTAATTCCTAATTATGGCTTGGAGATCTACTTTTGAAATTAGCCACTGAAAACTATGGATTACAATAGAACACTGTCTATCTCATTTACTTTGGGTACATCGCTAGAGCACATCATGTTTGATGAAGCAAAGGGCCACTGAGCATTAAGGGAGACCCTCAGTGAGACTGATTAGCACTTTAGTTGAAATGAACTTGAACATGCTGATGATCATGATGACTCAAGACTGGGCAATGTTTTGTTGTTGTACGTAAGGTCACCATGAGTCAGAATGGACTTTATGGCACTTAACACCAATAATGTATCCCTTGGCCAAGTCACAAAACTTTTTAGCATCCCTGCAGCATTTCATAGTGGCTCTTCTTTATAAACTGTCATGAGGTAAAATTAAATACTAAGAAAGATCAAGCAGAGAAATAATGACATGACTATAAAACTGTCACTTGAGTGACAATTTTAAAAGTGATAAATTTCACAGCATTTCTGGTCTTTATTCTCCTTGTCTGCTGGAGCAGCTTGAAATTCTGAGACATAACACTATTCTGGCAATCCTACCTGGGCTTCTTTTCCAGCACTTCCTTCTCTTCCTATGCCTGAAATACAACATTACCCAAGGCTTATACCTTGGTACTCTATTCTTTATGGGACAGTGTTATTCAACATGTAGTCTACTGCCCACAAAATAATACATCAGATTTACCTGGGGAGCTTTGAAAGAACAAACACTCAAGTCTTGCTGGTCCTACCAAATCCCAGAATACCTGGGGATGAAACCAAGAGCCAACGTTTCTCAAGTACTTCAAATGTTTGAAATCCACTGCCCAGACCTTCTCAAGTTTATAGCTTTAATCCCATTCCCAGCCTTAAGAAAAAAATAGTAGGCAGTAGTTAGGTAGTACCAACAGCCCTATTTGGGACAAAGATCAGGTTAGACCCCTGCCTCTGTCACTTAACTAGGTGTCGGATTATGGTCTATGTTGAGACGTAAGCAAGACAATGTGTTTACAGTACTTGGCAGAATGTTTGGCCTAAAGTGAGTATTCAACAAATGACTGCTACTGTCACTTTACATTAATAAACCTGATCACTCATCCCCACTCCACTCAACTGGCTTGCCCTTCAGGATTCTCTATTTTTATCAACTCAACATTCTTACTACTTTCCCAGGCTTCAGTCTATACCATATCTTTTGCATGGATCAACAAGCTTCTGCATTCTTATTCATGCTTCTCTGCCGATATGTCAATCCCAACCTCCATCCACCATTCAATGTCCTTCTCCACCTAACAAATCCTTTGGTAAAGTCTTTCTTGACCATCCAGCTTGAAGTAACCTGCACATGTACTCGTCCATATACCTATTATCACCTATAAAAATTCATTAGCAATTAATCAAATATTGGCCTATGATATCTCACCTGCAGTTGTCTTACTCTCTTAACTCTTTCCCTGATGTCTAACTATTTTTATCAGTTTACACCTAGAGTAAAAAAAGCACAAGTAGAGACTATTTAATACTTTATATGCTCGGCACCTTGGTACTTGACAGACAGCCAATATTCAAAAATCTTTTTGGTTGATAAGACTAGAACTGACTGAGATTTGAAGACATTTTGTTATTCAGTAAATTCATCCACTAAGAATTTAAACCAGATTATTATTCAAGTTATTAAGTAAAAGGATCTTTTAACCAAAAAAAAAGAAGCTCCAGGAGACTTACAAGAACTGGAGTACATGATAGAAGTGGTGGTCAGAGAAGCTATGATCAGATATACTATTGCTAAAAGAAAATGAGATGCTACACAAACCACAAACACTAGACTTATCACCTAAAATAAAAAGCTTATAAACAATTACATGACAAGTTACAAAAATGGCAATTTATAAAATATTGTTTTACTGCAGTCAAGGTAACCCTTATTTTCAATTTTAATACAGCCAGGCTTTCCAAAATGAGCACAAATCAATCTGAAAGCGCTTAAGTTCTTAGCACTATTTTCTTTACAGCAGCATCCTAAATTTATATCATATACAATATACTGGGAAGCCACAGAAATACTTCAAAGGGCAGTTTACAATTTATAAAATCAATTCTGAGTCTAATACTCAACTCAGTTACTATTTTTTCCTTCACAGTACAACTGGGAAGTAAGTTTTGAGTAGTTTCAAAAAACTGTCATGCTGTGTACCTTCCCATTTTGCATGATATAATTTTATATACAAATGCCCTGCTTTTTTTGTTCTTGAGATGAAGCATGAGACGTTAAAATAATACTAAACATAGAAATACGTACAAAGTATAACATGATATTTCTTATATCTACACAGTGATTTAAAATATTTGTTTGCTAATTGTAAAAACTACCTAATGGGCTTTCAGTGCCAGTGAGCAAGAGAAAATTAATATGCTGAAATCTAACACTTCTCCAACAGGTATAAAATGTTTAAAGAAACGTAGGTGACATGTCATTTAGCAAAGCAACCTCATAAGCAGGTCTGTTTTAAAACTTGTAAATGGGACACTGAAAACTTTTTAAAAAAAAAAAAAAACACTGTACTTTTTCCCCATTTAACTACATTAAAGTATGGGTATATAAACTGTCTAACTAAGCAATCCAAGGGACACAATCAAATCTGTGCAAAAGTAGCTTTTATAAATGAGCTATAGTAGTTAACAGATACCCTAACTCTTCTGGAACAAGAAGAAAAATTCTTACCTATTCAAAATTTTTGGTATCATTTAAAATTAGACAATAAAAAAGCTGCATTTGGGATAAAGCCTCAAACTTCATTAATGTTGAGAGGAAGGGACACAAAGAACCTAGCAGGCTAAGAGGACTAAATGGACAATGAATATTCTAAGAGTAGACAAAAGCCAGACTTTTGTCAACACTGACTATTCACTTCCCTAAAGCTGCAGTTGGCTAATTTTATGATTAATTTCTGACTAAATTAATTTATCTGTAGGACAAGCAAAACAAGCCAGCCATTTTGGCTAAGTATCTACCAATTCCTGGCTGATGGTATACCAGTCTCATTTTCCTGTATACTGTAAGGAAAAGATAATTTACTCTTAACTTGGGAGGTTTATATTTCAGTTTCCAATGAGCAATGTTTTCACAGCAGTAAGTCCTCCTATACTATTAAATCATAACTAATGGTGAAGGCCAAAATTAACAGAAAATGAAATATTTAAAGGGCATCAAGACTCCAGATCCCAAATCGTTAACAATTTTAATGCTTTGAATCCCAAAATTGTTCAAATGTTAAAAATAAATTAAAAATACTGACTAGTACAAAAGTTCTGGCCTGAAATTTTATAAATATGACACTTTGGTGAGGAAAGGAAGCTAGTAATGGCAGCAGAGTGCCTTAAGATTTCCATCCAGAGAAACATACCCAAAACATTAAAAGCCCTCAACCCTATTAATTATAATGCATTTTTGACCTCTAAAAACCCTCTTACCTGTTTACAAGAGTTTATACAGCTGTTTGCCACTGGAACACCACCTTGCAGAGTATAACCGTGGCATCCTTTGTTGATAATCACCTGTTGCCTAGCAATCATCATCCCGCATGGAGACAGACAGCACTAGAGCTCTTCCATCCGAGGTTACAATTCAAAACAAGCCCAACAAGCCTGCATTTCAAGGTGGTCTTCGTCTGCAACTAGTTAAGTTTAAAACTGGCAAACAACAACAATGGTGTCTGAAGCCAATGGTGCAGCATTGCTGGCTTCCTCTTGAACTCCAGCGTTGTCACTGTGCACCGAAGTCTCCTGCTGCAAACAGGGGAGTTGTTCTCCTGTACGGGAACAGGCTTCCAAAGCTCAGGAGCCCGCGTACAGGATAATGCAGGAACTAAAGGCAAATACTTTTTCCTCCTTAAGGATGCCTCCATTTTTTTCCTCACAATCTGTACTACCAACCGAGGTGACAGGGCCTGAGTGTGCGTTCGTACCTATGAAACCGTCACGGTGCATGCACATCCAAGGCATGTGGAATCACAGGTCAAATAAGGCACAGATACCAAGTAACGGTTCTAATTACAAACGCTAGCTCTCAGGAACTCTTCATCCATTCAGAACTAAACCCATCACTGCATAACTCTGGTAAGAAGCCCCTGGAGATGAAGGAGCTCCTCAAATGTGTCAGGAAAGGCTTTATTAACATCATCATTAACATTTAAAAAGGAAACGGAGCATTTCTCTTTCTTTTTGGCAATTTGGTGCAAATGTTAAGTGCAAGATAAAGCAATTTCAAACTTTTCTTCAAATTAAAAATGAAACTAAAGCCAAACGTGATGGGTGAACAAAATAAATCAAAACTTAAATTTCAGCAACTCCGGCTCTTCAAACCAGCAAAGCCCCCGACTTGTGCACTGTGGTGAGGCTTAGGGTGCTTGCCCCGGCTTCTTGCATGCCAGCAAACAGCACCATTTCCTCATCAAGTTGAGGACCGAGAAGCAAATGATCCCCTTCACTGCAAACAAAGGGGATCACAGTAACACTAGTGATCCTTCAGAATTGACACACCGTGATAGTCAAAATGAAATTGATGGTCTCCCTGCTTCTTGCTCAAGACATACAAGATCTGAGCAGCAGCAAGTACCCCCTCAGCTGCAAACAAAGGGGTCAAAGGTTTGCCGTCAATTCACTTCCAGGCAGAAAAACATTTTCCTCAAAAGAAACAATTTATTTAGAATAAAACAAAAGCAGCTCAACTGTGAGCGCACGTTTGAGTGACAGCTACTTTTAAGCTGTGTGAGCCATAAAAAGGGTTTTTCTTTACTTTTCCAGAAATCTTGTGTACACAGCACAAAGCAAAGAGGTCATTTTTTTCCACTTAAAACACCGGCATTGGCATCACAATAGCAGATACACAACTTTAAGCTGTCATTTTAGTAAAATGCACAAATACTAAACAGATTAGCTGTCTTCCATCAAGAGGCCCATGTAAACTCCACATAAGCCACAACTTCTCTTCAAAAAAGGTCCATTAGAGCTTTGAATTCCGTATCTTCATCCGCTGTTCACCAGTTTTGCTTGCAGGGGGGAAAAAAAGGTTATTCAGTACAAATGTTCACAATATTAAAAAAATATATATTTCCCCTATGCCATTATAGATTAACATAACATTAACAAGACCTTCCTGTATAGTCCACTTGACTTCAAAAAGCACCAATAATACCCACTGGCACAAACCTTGAAATGAATTTACTGTATGAATAGACACATAACAAGTAAAACAATAGGGTGGGTTTCTTTAAAGGCTGCAATTAATGAGGATTATAGGACTGAAAATATCATTTATACTCAAGTAACTAAATAAAACATGTTTTATAAAATTCAGAAAAAGAAATGAGTTTATAATCAACTGGTTCTATGAATATATTCCAAACATAACTTAAAAGTGAAACTATGAAAAGGTGGATTCCAGTCAAACTTTTATCTCCTGTTTTAACTTTGTAATTTACATGGAGCAATACAGATTACTCCCTCTTGTATAAAAGGGTCAAGACACAAAGCCATCTAAAAATCCACCTTCAACTATGTTACCAAAGACAGCAGCTGTTAATTTTAAGAAAATACTCACACAAACAACTCCTAAACAGCCAGAACACTTCAGGACTTTTACTTTTCAAGTATATTTAAATCACACATATAAAACTCTTCATTAAACTTCGTAGTTCACTGTGGTTACCTGTAATTTTCTTCCTTTAGGGATTATCACTACAACCAGAATGTTAAGAGGGTAAATTCTACTTCTGGTTCTCATACCTAACTCCTATCTCAAAACCAAAACCTGTGGTAGAGACAGAAAAAAATTTCCAGAAGTTCCCTCCAAAATATTTTTTTTACTTAAAAGGTCATTAAAGCCTTCTCTCAAGAGGATTCCCTACATCATCACAGAGTTTTTGGTAAATGGTTCCTGTATGGACCCAAACTATAGTTGAAGTTGTGCCTGCATAAGTAACTTCACTGTCTAAAGAAAGTGGATTTAAAATTTTCAATTCATACACACAAAAAATAGAGCAGTCAGTGAAAATGTGCTCATAAAGAAGTCTTAAAATAAACCTAAACAATGTCTGACTCTGAAAGTAACAATCAAACACCTTATTATTAACTGTACCTCGGTCTTAAGTGAGTTATGAAGGGCAGAGTATACTACCTTCAAAATATGATAGCCAGAGGATAGACAATTTAAGATGTAGTCCTTAAAAGGAAAACTTTTCTACTCTTGGTTGAGAGTCAAAGTAAGCATCTTAAAATAGGAATTTAAACTTTTGTGTGAAAAATTCTTCATAGGAATTCAAATTACTATCAACAACAAAATATCAAAGGATTAAGTACAATTATTGGTTAGGAGCTGAACGAATACTTAATTTTTCATAAACTTTAAAAGTTGTGATCTAAAAGCCTTCTTTAACTTGATATTTTTACCATTAATACTTAATAAACCATTAGATGACATACTGAAGACATTTTCTTTCCATTCATTTGAACTGAGCTGTAGAAAGATCACCTACACTAAACCAATTATTTAAAACAAGAGAGAAAGAGAGAGAGATTGTTACAAAGAATTATGAAACTCTGGCTAATGAACATTAGAACCAGACAGTTTTGGAATTTTGCTTTCAAACTAATTCTGAAGGTTTAAATGGGCAGATTACAACTATTATAAACCTGAACAACAGATGGGCAACACAAATATTCAACTGATGATGAATATTCAAATGATGATGGCACTCTGTAGGTAAGCACCAAATTAAACATAATTCCTTATTTATAATACATGTATTTTCAAAGTGACATGAAATCATTGTTTCAAAAGCATCAAAGCACAAACTGCCAAGATTGAAAAAAGCAGTGATGCCAAGTAAGGGTTCAAATTGACATGGAACAGAAACCACAGAACTCTTCAATAAGCCTTCACATCACCTCAATTTTAAAAAAGGGGGGGTAAGGGAGGAACCACACACATTTTGCATTACAGTAAAATTAGAATTGTGGACTTTACGCTCCAAAAGCCCCAAATCATTTGATCTTATCAAAAGTTGTCAAAAGATACTCAGAAGTTAATGGTTAGTAAGATTATTTAAACTGGAAAAATGTATCCAGCCACAAATTGTACTTTGACCCTGTATAGACACAGACTCCACACTTGCATTAGTCTCTGAACAGGTGTCTATTCTATATTACAATGCCAAGCATTACTTTTTGAAAGCAATAGCATCAAAACAGAATTGTGGAATTACAGGAATTTTCCCAAAGGCACAACCAAGGATCTGTGTGCTCACAACTGAGTCCCCTCCTGCTCTCAAAATGGCTAGTTTTTCCAGTTTAAAAACAAAAACACAAACGCCTCCGAACTTTAAAAAAAAAATTACAAATGCACAGTGAAAACCAAAAAAGGATGACACAGCAGTGATGAAGCTTTCATGCTGACATGCATTTTAGACACCTGTCATAATGGAAAAAAAAAATAAATTACATGACATTTCCCTGGGTTATTATTGGTGCTATTTCAGAACTATCAGCTTTGATAATAGAAAGAAAATAGTTGGATTCTGCCAGGCTTTCAAGAAGTCACTTTCACAGAATAGAAACATGACCATGACCCCGAAGGTCCTAAAGTTTCTAGTCATAATTAACTATCAAGGGCCTTAACTGAAGTCCTCGGAATTTAAATTAGGGGGAGTAGAGAGGGAAAACACACTTACTAATGACCTGAGAAACTAGGGTTGGGGCTGGAGGGATTAGGTAAAAAACAAAACAAAACAAAAATCCACCCATTATTACTTTTAAGCAGCGAAAGCACCTGTTTAGAACCGTAAACTGTTTTTTAATCCTCTTTTTTAAAAAATAATCCTGTTTTTTAAAAAATAATTTGTGAGGGTGATTAAATTAATTTGTATCAGTATGTTTTCCAGGTGTTTGGTGAAATAATGCAATGAAAAACTGTTTTCCTACACTGACATTTCAACTTTCTGTGGCTGGATACCAGTGAAATTTCAGATACTCAAAACATTTTCAATATTGTAGTGTCACCACTACTGTTTAAATATGAAAATAAAAACATAGCAAAATAAAGAGTGTGTGTCAAAGGCATTTTATGAGGACTTTAAAAATTCTGCAATCCAAATATGGTTGACTAATGCCCACTGGGAAAAAAAAAAAATGCCTTTAAGAGCCTGCAGACAACTCTTCTTTCTATTATTGAAACCAGAAATTTGAATGGATACAAAAACCAAAACTCTCTTAGATGAACACTTGTTTTTGAAATATGCACAATTAAATTAGAACTGTACCTACCACCTCCCTCTGAAAAATTAAAATCACCACACACCAGTAACTAACCAAAGAACTCTGATTTTAAAAGCACCTACTTACTTCTTGCATACTAGTGTAAGCCTAAGACATAAATGGTTTGTAACATAGCCCTCAATTTTCACTGAGCAGAAAAGCTACAAACCAAAAGTGCATATATGGGATACAGTAGAACTCAAAAACTGTTAATAAAAATGAATGTTAATGCAAACTCACTGGGAATAAACCACGTATCTTAAAAGAATTACTCAAATACAAGTTACTAGCTTGTACTTTTGAAATCCCTAGTCAAAATTTAGTCTTACTTCTGATACAAGAATTATTTACCTACACACCAATCAAGTCATTTTTATGTATATATTATGATCTTTATAGTCACTGGGCCCTTTTCTCCAAATTCTGATTTATCAAAATTTTGATTTTGTAACTTTGAGGATTTTTTTAAGTTCAAGACTAACAAAGAAAGAAAAAAAAAAACTGAAGAAAAAAGTGGAAACAATTTACCCTTAACAACAAGAACTCTTAAGTCCACCTGCTACCTGCAGGGCACCTTCCTCTCAAGTAATAGCTAAACTATCCTGACTTCTATTTTAAAGAGGTTTATAAAAGTATAAAAAAGAAAAAGCTGTAACTAAACAATTAAAAAGAAAATTGCATCTGATGCTGTACCCCATTACACATATCACAAAACAGGAACCATGTCAAAGCAGTTAATACAAGTTATACAAGGACTTTAGGACGCACCACGGACAATGATCATGACCAGGTAATCTTCTTCAGATTTGGCCAGTGCCTTGGCAGGGGAATCCAGGAACTGCTGGGAGAACTCACAGGGTGGGAAGGCATGAAGAACCCCGGTGTTCTCCTTGTCTTTATTGCCCCCTACAGGGAGGCTTATCACCCCAGCGGCCTGCTTTTGCTTTAAATAGGACACAAGGTTTCTAAGTGGCCTCTGAGTAGAGGTGGCAGTGTCTGATGTGGCCGAGGAGGAGGACCGGCTGTCAGAACTTCCAGGCACAGCCAGAAGAATGGCATAACCATTGGGCCCTGCCACTTTGATGCGTCGAGTTACTTCATCCAACTTGGGCTGGTCCAAACGGAGACGCTGAGTGATCTTGAGCTGGGCCACTTTGCCTCCAGTTGTGCCCTCTACAAGAAGACTACTAGCTACTTGGAGGTCACCCTGCAACAGATGCATGTTGGAAGGAAAGTTGCTATTCTTCAGTAGAAGCATGCCCTGCCAGGCCAAACAGAGTTTGGGAGAGGCTGCTGCTGCAGGAGCTATCCCACCATCCTGTTTCTGGGAAGGGGACTTGAGCTTCAACGAAGCAGTGCTGGTGCTAGGTGCACTCCCATCAGATCGGTCTTCTTTTTTCAGAGGGCTTTTTCCCTCAGTGGGAGCTGCTGTTCGGTGCTTTCTATCTCGTTCAGCTGATGCAGAGTTTTTACGGTCTCGCTTGTCACCTTGGTTCTTCTCCAAACTACCTCGTCTGTCTCTGACTGGAGAGGGCTTTTCCAAGAGAAGAAGACGGGAAGATCGATCATTGTCACTATTGTAGCGATCTCGGCTACTGCTCAATTCTGGACTGCGGTCAGGAGAAGGAGCACAGTGACGTTTTCGTGGACGGTCACTCTCAGGGGACCTATCCATGTGCCGTCCCCCACTCTCTTCAGGCAGCCTTCGCTTCCTAGGCTGGTCTCTGCTGCTAGGAAGATCTCTCTCACCTCTGTCCCGATCCAAGGACCAGCCATCCCGCCTGCGATCCAGGTTATCTAGTGGCTCATAAGCAGGCACAGCAGCAGCTGCAGTTCGAGTGCTGCGTTCTCGGACTGGAGGTGGGGGTGGCACCCAATCAGAGTCAGGATAAAGGTCCCTATCACGATCTCTGTAGAGTAAAGGTGGTGTCCTATCCCGAGCACCCCTCAAAGGGTCAGGTGCCCGATGTCCAAAAGCGTCTGTCACCAGTTCATAATGAGTCAGAGGCAAAGGCTGCAGATACTGCTGCTGGTAACGATGTTCTGTATCTGCAAAGTCTACTCTAAGGCGACGATCTGGGCCACCAAGTGGGAAACCCCGCATATGGGTCCAGGCAGCATGAGCTGCATCTAGGCTTTCATATTGGATATATGCCCAACTGTCACCTTTGCGGTAGTCTATTGTGCGTATGGTGCCAAATCGGTCAAACTCACGTGCCAGGGCAGCAAGAGGCACCCAAGGTCCCAGACCACCTACCCAGAGGCGGGTAGTGGGTGTAGCTTTACCATAACCAATTTTGATAGGATTCCGGATTATAATTTTGCCAGACATTGCTAGTTTGGCTCGGTGAGACATGTCCAGATTCTCAAATTTGAGAAAGCCATAGGTACTGGTTTGACCACGAGAAGGGCGTTTGATGTCTACTTCTGTGATGACTCCAAATCGATCAAAAGCCCTTCTTAGATCACTCTCTGTCACAGTGATATCTAGATTGCCCAAGAAAAGCGTCCGGTTAGCTCGCTGATCATCCTCAGGTGAAATCTCATCCACTTCACGGAAAGGAGCAGCACCGGCTCCAGCTCCTACCCTTGGCTCAAGACTGTATGCTGGGCGCACTCTCTCATAAAACGAATAGTCTCGGTCTCTCTCCAGCTCGCGGGGCAATGGTGGCGGAGGTGGAGGAGGCAGGCGGCCAAGCGCCAACTGCTGCAAACGGTAGTCTCTGTATCCCAAGGCAGCACCGCCAGGAGAAAGTGATCTCTGGCCTCCACCACCTCCAGGCGGGTGCCGGTGACCACCTACAGAGGACCCAACCACGCTGGCTGATGGAGGATAAGAATCTTTGTCTAAAGGGGAGCGGCTACGGCGCCGGCTCACATACACAGCCTCTATCTTCAAGGGCCGGTCATAGAGCACAAGGCGGCCTCTGGCATGCTTGGCCGCACGCGCGTCCTCTGGCCGCCGGAAGTTCACAAAGGCTACCCTTTCGTCCCCGCTGCCAGAACCCGAGAGATGACTAATTTTTACACTCACATCACCAAAGCGTTTGAACTCATGAAACAGTCCGTCCTCCACCGCTTCGTCACTCAGCTGGGACCCCAACTCGCTTATCTTCAGTGTCTTGTATTCCCCGCCGTCTCCGCCGCCAGGAGCTGAGGAGGCGGCCCCAGAGGAACGTGACTCCCCGCCTCCACCCCGGGAGCTACTGCGCGACTCGCCCCCGCCCGAGGAATTTTTGGTGCTTGGAGAGCTATAACTATGCAAACGGCTACTGGAGCTGCCCCCACCAGCGTCATATTCGCGGCTGCCACCTCGACTACTAGACTTGTCCAAATGAAGACTCCGCCGCGACCCACCGCCGCTCTCGGTCTTTCCACTGCTGCTCCCATTGCTGCCACCAGAGCCACCTAACTTCTTGCTCCGTTCCCCACGGGAAGTCGAGTCCTCACCACCACGAGAGCGTTTCGCCTTGACTGGCGAGCGCTCTTTTCCTTTCATTGTTGTGGGTCGTCGGAGGTCGTCTTCGCGGAGCTGATTAACCCGCCGCCCCGCGCTCGTTTCACACAGCGGAACCGCACGCCGCCATCTTGGACTCCGCCGCGGCAAAGGCTCCCGCCCCGCTGTCCTCATTGGTCAATTAGCTCCTCTCTTCTGCAGTCTCATTGGAAAAATAACTTGTCTGTCTTTACATCTCCCGGCGCTCCTGGAAGGCACCCGCCCTACCACTGTTATTGGGCGCTCAATGCCCTGGTCAGAGTATGTCATTGGCTACATTAGTTGTCTATCTTAACGGTTCCTCGCGCCAGGCCGTAGCCCCGCCCTCCACACGCTATGGTCACCTGACCCAAAGTCTTGAGGCGTTGATTGGACAAAAAGTCTGCCCTGTAACGGTACTTCTTCAGCGGTGAAAGCAGCGATCCCACCTCCTCATCCCTTTCATTGGTCTGTCACCCTGTTCTTTAACGCACTATTTGGGAATTTGGGCCATCAGTTTGGACGATTTTTCCTCAGAGAGGCAGGCTTACAGCGATCTCGCGAGAGAGCTCCCTCTTTCGCCCCTCTTCTTCCAACTCCTTCGGCGGCTGAGAGAAGTTTAAATCTCATTGGATGTTGACGAGGAAGTTGATAGGCTGAAATAAGTGTCCGTCACTCTTTAAAGGGGTAGCTCCTTGTACTGAGGAGGCTGACTGAAGGTGAAAACCCAGAACCCGCGCTTGGTATGAGACGTCACTTTGATGCAGCGAGATGTTGACCACGAGCCAGCCCCGACTCCGTGCGCTTTCGGCTTACTACCCTCAAATATTTGTTCGGTGCCGCGGTGTACGTGGTGGTGTTATGGCTCTTTGAGCTGGAAACTTCTGGGTGCCTCATCGTCCTACCTGTGCCGAATGAGGGACTGGGCAGGCTCTCTGGCTGTGAGAGCCGCATCCCTCAGGAAGCCACTTCGCGGCGCCTGACAGACACCATCTTAAGACCCGTGGCCCTAGGTGAAGAGCCTGAAAAAGCCCCTCGCCTCACTGCCGCCCCTCTGTTGCGCGACGAAGCGCCGCTCGCGGCTGCTGGGCTCCAAGTATCCCGCCAGGTCCCGAAGTTTATAATTCACAAAGTGTCGCCCCGGACCGCGCTCTGATCGGCGTGGGCTTTCCGGGTCCTGCACCTAAGGAGCAGCACAGCGAAGAGCCCTGCTCTTGGCGCTCCTCATTCGGTCAAATACCCGGGGTAACTGAGAGGAGTGACCCACGGTCTCAGCCCCATGGTCCACAGGCGTGGCCGGAACTGTCAGGCCACCGCGGACGTGTCTTTAGGCGTCCTGTTTTACACTGCAAGTCCAGATGGATTTTGTACTCTATAGTACCGTAGTATAACTATGCTTGTTTTCATGACTTCCTGGTAAGATAATCGAGTGAAAGTGACGCTCTGTGCAGATACATCATGCTTTTTTTCTGTGACTTCTTGTGCCTCCTGGCACCTCGGATTATTCTATAATAGAATCCTTCTTGCCTTTCTAAATACATCTTTTTGCCTTTCACAAACATCCGCTACAAAAGTCAACTTTTATTCTTTCCATTGACCTTTGTTGTGCCAGGCAGTAAGGCACCTGTGCCAGATGCTGGTATATTGAGATTTGAACAGGTATAGCCTTTTTCCCAGTGCCCATTGTCCGGTGAAGGGAGGTAGTGCTGAGTTTATAGCGGTGAGGTTTTCTGTAGTCCTCCCAGGTCTCTGCCAGCCAGAAGTTAGGAGGAATCCTGCATTGATCCTCTCCTCAACCACATCTCAAGATCCAGGCAACCTGTTTTAAACATAGTATTTTTCAAGGTAACAATAATGTCCTGAAAACTGAAACCTACGCTTGAAAGTTTGAGATTAGGTACTGTAGCCCATTTAGCTCTACCTTACCTCTCCTCTTTCCAAATAATCTTGAGGAAGGTAAAGATTATACCTTTGTTGTATTACCTATGTGTTATATATAATATAAATATATTTGATATAATGTCTTGATTATAGCAAAGAAACTTGAAATTCATGATTAAGTGGATATGTAAAGTATAAAAATTCACAGTAATATAGTATGTAGGTATCTAGGAATTAAAACTAGTTACAAAAAATCGCTTAAGGTATAAAACAGTGTATCATTGTCCTGGAGTCGGATCTGACTGATAGTGACCCCTCCTTGGGTTTCGGAGGCAGTATCACTATGGAAGTAGATTGCCGAGGAGTGGTTGGTGGGTTTGAACCACCAGCCTTCTGTAGCAGTCAAATATGTTACTATTGTGGTCTTTTTAAAAGTATTCACACACAATACATTATGCATTCATTCATAGAACATCCCTTGACAGGTACCAGGAATATTGCTATCAGGATTCCTCTGAGGAGAGAGACTGAAAGTCTGGAGTGGGAAGGAGATTTACCTTTCCGTGGTACACTCTTATCTGGTATTTCTCACGCTCATACTCTTTCAATTTGAAAAATAGCAAGTCTTTTTAGCTTCCCTTAAAAAAAAAAAAAAAACTTTTTGTGGAAAAATTAAAAACTGTACATAAATAGAATAATATAAAGAACTCTCATGTACTCAAAACTCAATCTCAATAATTATTAAATCATGTCACTCTTGTTCATCTGTACTTCTTCCCAGTTTCCTCTTATCCTTTATTTTGTTCTAGGCTTATTTGGTACATTTCCTGCCCCAGACAGAAATTCTGGTTCCTTTTAGTGGGAAATGGTATTTAGAAAGAAAAATCTGAATTCTAGTGGATTAAAAAATAGAAAAAGCAGTATTTGTAAAAGCACAAAATGCTTAAAGAAAAATGTTTTACATAGTTAAGAGGTTTTAATCTGTTTCAAGGTTAAATTAATACAACACAAGAGAAACTTAAGTCATCATCTGATTGCCTTATTCAGTGCAATAGCCAATCAAGATAAACCAGGCTCCAGAGTGACTAACCAAACCAAACTCACTACCGTCGAGTGGGATCCGATTCATAGCGACCCTTCCTTGGGTTTCCGAGGTGGTATCTCTACAGAAGTAGATTGCCCAACCTTCCTTCCAAGGAGTGGCTGGTGGGTTTGAACCACCAGCCATCTGGTTAGCAG